TACATGACAAAAAAATATTTTTATTTATAAAAAATGCGTTTTAATTCCTCCAAATGGTGATTGAAATAGAGGTCATCGGAAAAACACGCCTCCATGGCGTCCGTGATTCAGCCTCTCCAAATAATCTGAAACCAAAAATCCAACGATTTTTATTAATTATCTCGCTATGGCGTGAACCAGAATGAAACCAATTGCATGAAATTTATAAAAAAATACGGCAGTTTAAAAAAAAAATTTTTAATTTTGTCCGAAAAATCTGTTACATTTTTGTCTATAACAAATCGAATTTTTGTTGTAAAAAATTTAATCCTGGTTCACGCCATGCGCAAAAGTGTTAGGATTAAGAAAAAAAAACCGCATTTGATTATCTTTATTAGTTTCTTAGTTATCACGGATGCCAGCTCGAAAAACATGATTTCGAGAAAAAACGAGTTTAAAAGTTTTAGTTTGACTTTTTTCATATATAACACAAATTTCAAGCGCACTTACGGTTAATCTGCAATACCAGGTCCATATAATAGTCCCTCTGCTTCTTCAAAGAAATCGTTTTCTGCCAGTTTCTCCAATCGCCGAGCTGTTCTGGTTTCTTGTGAAGAATTTGACGTGCGACGATTTGCCTGCCTCACGCGTTGTCTGTCCTTTTCGTCGGCACATAGCTTTGCTATTAGTCCAATACGGATTCCCAATATGTTCATTATTAGCAATAAACTTTTAAATCCGTCATTGAACGTACAGGTTGCCAAAAATGCTGCGACAGATATAATTTTTGCACCAGAAAAGACATGTTTCGGCGCAAAGTGCCAGAGAACTGCGTTATAACTTTCGTTATTATTTTGCGTATGCCCCCCGAGACATCGCGTTAACAAATCATTATCTGATAAATCTTCATAAATTTTATAAATGACAGTTTGAATGTCAGAAGACAGAGGTGGATCATTTGATGATAATTTTGAAGCGTGCCGTTAGCTTCTGCGACGCGCCAGCTGCACCAAGAATTTGATCCTGGAGGACAATGAGAATGCATGGGCTCTTCATCGGTTGATATTTTATGATAATATGTCGCCCATACTGCATTTTTCATGTCGAGCAAAGACTCTGTGTTTCGTCGTATTGCTAATCCATAGTAAATAGTGAGGTCTTTAATTAATTTTTCCGTTAATTTTCCTGCTCCCTTTCCACCAATACCTTTGTGTGATTTTTTGGCATTTCTCAATCTATTCCCCATACGTTTTTGAACGTGTGCAATGCATTCTTTTTTCTTAACCAATAATTTGTCTTCATATGGGTTTTCATTGATTAAACTTTTGAAAGTTTTGCTGTCCCCATCACCTATATAATTTTCGTACATAACGCCGTGTAAATTTTGAGAACGTTGGAACATTTCAATAACGCCGTCGACTTCCATTTTTCCAGCGCTTCCTGAATGATTGATCGTACACTGTTCTGCGTGTTCCTCTTGCCACAATAAATCTTCTATAGAATTGTCATGTTTTCGAAGTGAACATGCTTTACAAAAGCTAGATTTAATCACAACGTCTACTATCTTGTTTGTGTACTTTCCGATCAGTGTAACACCAAATAAGAACGAAAAGCTTCTTTTGCTCCATGTACCGTCACCAGATACAGATAAATGTAACGGTTCGTTACCTGCTTTTGTATTTTCATCGATTTCTTCTTTTGCGGCGTTTTTCAAACTAAGATCGTGCACAGCTTGCGCGGCGGTGTAAATGTTATCCATAGCAGTATAGTACATGCGCGTAGTAAAGCCATTGCATAAATCCATTAAACCACAAAATATATTTAAGCCACTCAGGCCAATGCCCAAAATGCGCATCACAAAGACTATTCATCGATTAATTTCAAACGATCGATTGTTAATAAGAAGACAAGACTCAATGCTTTCTGTTTTGCAGCTACACTCAACGACTAATTTAAATCCTAAACCCATTTCTCCAGCCTTACTGAAACGAACTTCTTTTTTGCATATTTTGCACTCCAGTATTTCAGTAATTTGGGAAAAATCGATAGAAAATTAATAATACAATAACTTTGCAGCACATCCACTCGCACGTCATCATCACTAGACGTTTGCAGTTTTTTTGCCGATGTACTGGCAAACTCCGTTTCGTTTTCACTTGAATGTTGATTCCCGTAGAATCGCCGTTTCTTTCCTTTTTTTCCAGGTCGAGTACTACTAGTTTTAGAAGTTTTCTTATCGTGGAACATTTTGAGAACACGTTTATTCAACTGACGACAATGCACGACTATGCACGATAAAGAACAAGGTTCAAGCAGTTCTAACGGCTTTCTACCTGCTCCTAAATTATTTAGTATATAGAAGATAACACTAAGGTTCCTTCTGGACTGATAGAAATCAACATCTACCGGTTTTCTCTGAATAGTGATCTGAATAGCGTTTACAAGTGCTGCTGCGCTGGCGAGCGCTTGGATAGCCCGTGCACCCTTATGTATTTCAGCTCGTAGCTCCGTTAATATTGCGAATTTTAAAAAATCCTTTTACAGAAATATTCTACACATATGTAGGAATAAAAATAAGCAAAAAAATTGATTTTTTGAAGCCGACAAAGGTGAAAGCTCCCTTAAGAATATGAAAATATCATATTTTTAAGAGAAAAGTACAAAATAAAGCTATACGACGCAAGAAATTTTTTACATTTCATTTCTCGCTTCCACTGTCACATAATTCTTGTCACGCCGCGAGACGATCAAGCCTTAATTCTCAGGATTATTTGTGATTGGATAATTTTCCTAATACATTACTTTTCCTAATATTTTACCTGAATATATTATATCTAATACATTAACTTTCCTAATACTTTACCTGAATATATTATAAATTTAGATTTATTTAACATTTCTTTAATAATTCTTAAATTTGTATACATAGGAAGGCTTTGAATTTTTCTCGATGCTAATCAAGGGTAGAATATTACCTTTAATTTGGAATGAGTAATGTGTACATGTATGTAGCATTGTTATATACATACACACATTTAGAGAACAATTTATGTGTTTAATATAAGTGAGTAGTATGTGTTTAATATAAGTGTTGTTATTATCTTATATATAATGAAGAATTCAAAAATTATCAGAATACAACAATAATTTAGAAATAATATAATATAATAGTCTATACAAGTAAAACGGCATTAATACAGCCATCATTTTCAGGATTATTCGTAACCTGCGCAAATTTTCCCCAGACAACTTTGCCAGATTGCGTTACAAGACCCAATTCTGAGATATTCACTTCAATAATAGTTCCTTTAGTAATAACACCTAAACTTGTGTACATAGAAGAACTTGGATTTCTTTTTACACCAATGATCGGTAAACAGAATGTTGCTTTTAATTCTGGATGAGTGACGTGTGCAGTTTTAAATCTCAGTGCCATTGGTCTGATAAACCTTTCAAATTTCGGTGGTTTTCTTGTAAAATTCTCTCCAACAAAAGTCACTTTAGTTACCATTCGTTTCCATGATTTCCGCTTTGTTTTTCCACTTCTCACTACTTTAAAAACTTCAGATTCTGATTGTGCTCTGACTTTAGGTATGGGTACATCCCATTTGCCAACTTTTTCTTTACGTTTTTGTTTTATCATATTAGACAGCACTTTCGAACGTTTTGTAACATCACGATCTAGTAGATATACAGGCAATGCTCCATCTGGTAATTTGTCAGATTTCTCCTTGACTTTCTTTTCTTCATGAGCCTTAATCTTCTTCTTCATTTGAATCTTTTCATTACGTCGCTCTTTATTAAATATCTTGGCCTTTATACCACGCAACTTACGAGCTTGCTCAGCTCGTTTATGAGGAGCACGAGCTTCTCTCTTCCTCTTTCTTTCCTCATAGTCTAGACGGCGACCATAGAGTTTACGGTGCCTTTCGATATATTCGTTCTGTGGCATTTTTCTATAGACTTATATTTTCATATAAAATTAATTCTCCCTGAAAAAGAAATTGTTAATATAATAATTTAATATAATTAATTTTGTTATTGAAAAAATTAAGAACAAAATGGAAGAAAATAGCAACTACTTATTTAAAATAATTAATAAAAAAATACATAATTTTGACGAATATTCGTCCAAGTCTTGTTTCTATTAACTATAGCTGTCACAACAAATTGCAAATAATTTACATTGTTAATTACAACATACATGAATATACAAGATTTGTTTTTGACAACTATTGTATACATATACATTTGTTATAATAAAATAAATATATGATTGAAATATAAATTTGGCGAAAACAAAAAAGTTTAGTGCAACAAGCACCTATTGATGTAACGATCATGACACGTGCATCACCATGTGTATCAGATACTAAAATAGCATAAGCGTGAAAATAAACGCACCGGTTTCAAATTCGATCACTTTTTTTCTAAATTATAAGAAACTGTCAAAAGCTTATCTCCAATCACGCTGCAAGAATTTCTTCTTTTAGTGGCTTCAAATAAACACAGCAATCTGCGACAATATCCGATCGAAAAAATATTCGGTACAGTTACTTTAATAATTTAGGTCAGCTGCACACAGGACGCGACAAAGCGACAACGCGACACGCGGCAACGCGGTAGCTAATCACCGTCTTGTTTTCTGATTATATAACTTCGTTACATATTAGAAAACAAGACGGTGATTGGCTACCGCGTTGCCGCGTTGTCACGTCCTGTGTGCAGCCGGCCTTAGAGTGTCATGCGTAAGTCCCGGTCTATAATAGGTGATTTAAGCCTTAAGCAATAAGAAATCGACAAATCATAGTCAAAGAATAGCAGAATAATCGACGCGATATATTTCAAGAATAGGGTCCCCGATTGGTTGGTCGTAGAGTCGTAACGACGCATTGTAGACCTTGCATTACGTCTTAAAGTCACATTGTAGATGCCACTTAACGTTAATTTGTTGACCTGTGTGAAGATAGCCCCCCAACATTGAAAAACATAAAGTTTCTATAGCTCATTCGATTACTCATCGTTTGCACATGTATGTACATTTCAAATTTTCGTTTGCACACTTCTAGTAAAAAAGTTATTAACATTTTCCTATATACTTCCCACATAGTTTTTATCGTATACTTCCCATATAGTTTTCTCATACAATTCCCACATAGTTTTTCCCATATATTTCCCACATAGTTTTTCCCATCTACTTCCCACATAGTTTTACCCATCTAGTGCCCTCATCATTTTTCCCATATACTTCCCATATAGTTTTTCCCATCTTCTTTCCACATAGTTTTCCTATCTTCTTCCCACATAATTTTTCCCATCTAACGCCCACATAGTTTATCCCATCTAGTCTCCATATAGTTTTTCCCATCTTCTTCCCACATAATTTTTCCCATCTAGTCCCTACATAGTTTTTCCCATCTAGTCCCCACATAGTTTTTCCCATCTAGTTCCCACATAGTTTTTCCCATCTAGTCCCCACATAGTTTTTCCCATCTAGTTCCCACATAGTGTTTCCCATCTAGTTCCCACATAGTTTTTCCCATCTTTTTCCCACATAGTTTTTCCCATATATTTCCACCTGTGTGAAGATAGCCCCCCAACATTGAAAAACATAAAGTTTCTATAGCTCATTCGATTGCTCATCGTTTGCACATGTATGCACATTTCAAATTTTCGTTTGCACACTTCTAGTAAAAAAGTTATTAACAAAACAAATTTCGTGGGACCATTTTCACATTCACATTCCCCAACTATGAGTAAATTAATAAAAAAATAGCTCAATTGATAGATATTCGTTTGCACATTGCCAACAGGTCGAATTTTCGTTTGCACACCTCTAGTTAAAAAGTTATTAACAATTAAAGTTAACAAACAAAGTTTTGGGGAGCAGCAGTTCTCGACAAAAAAATTCGTTTTCATGGATGAATTCCGAAGATATGCGATTCAAAATAGAACCAATCGATAGTACTTAATTCCCGTTTTGCACACTTTGGTCAAAAGGTCGATTTTTGTTTGCACACTTCTAGTTAAAAAGTTATTAACAATTAAAGTTTCAGAAACGAGCGAGTTCGAATTTTTATCAGTTATTACAAGATATAACGTTCAGGTACAGATATTAAAGATGAGCGAGAACATGCAATAGATTTATGAGAAATAAACAAGAACCGAAAATGAATGAAAACGCCACAACTTTTCGATTGATATCATTTTAAGCACAATATTTTTGTTTTCACCTCATCTATCGAACTCGCTCATTTCTGAAACTTTAATTGTTAATAACTGTTTAACTAGAAGTGTGCAAACGAAAATTCGACCTGTTGGCAATGTGCAAACGAATATCTATCAATTGAGCTATTTTTTATTTAATTTACTCATAGTTGGGGGGCTAGTGTGAAGATGGCCCCCCGAAATTTGTTTTGTAAATAACTTTTTACTAGAAGTGTGCAAACGAAAATTCGAAATGTGCATACATGTGCAAACGATGAGCAATCGAATGAGCTATAGAAACTTTATGTTTTTCAATGTTGGGGGTTATCTTTATACAGGTAATTTGTTGTGTCATCATACGACTAAATTTTTTAGGCCTTCGTTTACAATGCGTGGTGTGTCGATTTCGTGGTCATGAGTAAAAACGGGCCAATCACAGACGAATGTGGAGAGAATACTTGATTGTGATTGACCCGTTCTTACGACTCACGACCACGCACCGACACACGACGCATTGTAGACGAGGCCTAAGAATATGGCTGCAAGATAGAAAGACTGGAGAATTGCTGTATTACATGCAACCAATCAACAGGCTTGTACAGCTTGTAAAAAAATTTGTCGTACAACAAATATAAAAGTACCCTAAATCCTCCATTAAGTGGAAGCAGTCTATATATGTCGATGGGGATTTACCAGATTTTATATAAAATTAGTCATGTATCATGTTTATCTGAATGGAGATAACATTTGATAGTTAAGCGTTATTACATAGTGTACATGTTTGTAATTTCTGATATAGTAGTGAATAGTATACTATTAAATACTATTAATAATATAAAACTAATAATATATTAATAATACAAGTTTTATTTACATATCATTAGTTGATATTTTATAAATAATAAGATAATTGTAAATTTATGTAGTATTAGTTATTTTTTAATCTTAAACAGTGTTAATTTATGTAAAATATCTATTTGAAGGCTCTTTACTTTTTTTCTTTTTGTAAAAGAATTTGATATAAAGTATAAATCTTTTTTAGTATTTAGATATAAATACTCAACTGAATATAGAAAAGAATGGGTAACTATATATTGTGTATATATATATATATATAAAATAGATATACAAGATAGACACTTAATAAATTTCCTTTGTAATAAAAATGTTGCAAATATTTTTAGGTAATTCCTCAAGTAAAACGGAAGAATCTGTAAACAATGAACAAGTAGAACCATCTAATGAAAACAGTTCTGCAATCGCAGATGTGACAGAATCATCTGAGACAAAACCATCGGTGATAGTGCCACCTAAATTTAATACAAAAGATGATTTCATGATGACATGGTTTTCATGGAAGAAAGAATTCTTTTATTACTTGTCAAGTATTGATAAAACCAAAGCCAATATGAGAATGTGGGGTATTTTACTTTTAAATCATATGGGACCTGTTGGTCAAGAGATCCATAGAACATTCCCTTTCTATGAATGCACAATGAATGAGAATGCACAAGAAAACATAAGTAGCTTAATTAAGAAGTTTGATATCTATTACTTGTATGAAGATAAAAAAAGAGATGGTAAAGACATCGATGAATATGTTAATGAATTAAAAGTATGTTAATATAAATAATATTGATAGCTAATCATGTCTAATCTCAAATGCAGTTCTATAATAATTTGTATATTTCTTGCAGTCCATTGCTGTTGAACGCGATCATCATAAACCTGAGGTTATTGTGAAAGAGAAAGTTATACAAGACATAAGTACTCAACATTTCACAGGAAAAGCTGCAGTTACCATAAAAAATCATGGGGAACATTGGATACCGTTTTTGAAAAAGCAAAATCTAGCTGTTATTGTTGATGTTTGGAAACAAGTGGAATCAATGACACAAGAGAATGATAAGGCACCAAAACAGGTTTCTTCCTGCACTAAATCTATAATAGAATGTGTTCGATGTGGCACAGAACATGATCGGAAACGATGTCCAGCCTGGGGTGTACAATGTGACAAATGTAAACAATTCAATCACTTCACAGTCAACTGTAAAATCAAGTATGTCAATGATTGTACTAAATGTGGAACAAATCATATTCAATCACGTTGTCCGGCATTTGGCGAACTATGTACAAACTGTGGCAAGATGAATCATTTCATATGGAAATGCCAGATTCCCTTTGTGAATAATTGTCCAAGATGTGGTAAAAGTCATGCAGTAACTGCATGTCCGGCGCAAGGTCAAATTTGTCGTTATTGTAACAAACCAAATCATTTGGAAGAACGATGCACAAGTAGATTAGATAACACTCAATAATCTGCTTATATTCTCCATTGAAAAGTTTGTTATATACATAAAAACACGCGCGCGCGCGTGTATATATGTACATATACATATGTATAAAAGTTTTTGGATAATGTTTAAAAAGATATTTTATCGTCTATAAAAAGAGATCAGAAATTGTCTTCTCAGATTATGAATTTAAAATATGTATATTGTTGCTATATTTTTATTGTACAATTCTTAGCATTCGTGAAAAAAATCGGGATTGTTTTAATGTACACAATGAAAAACTTCAGAATTTTTTGACAAATACCAAATACCAAATACCTATCATTACTTATGGAAAGTACGGTATTAAAACATATTTCAAAGTCGGTGAAATCTAAGGAGATAATCTTTGATGTTACTCTTGCTAAAATATAAACTAATATAGATTAATACAAACTGTTGCTATTATTTTTTATAAAAGAAAAGTTGTTTTAAGGATATTGTACATTATAAAAATAAATCAAAAACGTTTTGAATTATTTATTGGATTAAAAACTGTACATTACGCTTGATCACCAGTTGGCATAGATTTTATAATGTCAGAATTACCAGGATCTGTGATCGAGAGTGTACAGACACGGAAATATTTACCACAAGCTGTACCCAGTTCGATGTTATTCCCCGTGTAATGATGCACACCAGTCTTCGCTAACATTGCATAGTATTCAATCTCCGACTTCCTGTTAAATCGAGATAAATTATGTTTAAAACATTAAAAAATTAAATCTTAATGCCCCATGCACTTACAAGCAGGAGCTGGAGACTACTCCATAGTACTCCTATTTGTTTTCCAATATGCAAATTGATGATTATATCAATATTACTAGTTTCTATTACTGCATCTCTAATGTAATTATTTATTTAATATTTCACTAGATTCTAATAAAATTAAATTACAATAGAATATAATTTTTACAAATATATGTATATATATATGTATACATTTATCAAAGATTATATTCATTAAATTTTGAATTAATTCGCTTATAAAAGAAATTATTTATTTTAAATATGTCAATTTGCCAATACAAAAGGAGTGCTACTTCTCAGTCTCACCTTAGCGGTGGCGTATTGCTAGCAATGATGACCAATTTAGCTTTGCCTTGGCGGAGTGACTTCAGAGTTTGTTTATAACCAAGGACGTATTTACCAGATTTCATGACGAGTGCTAATCTGGTGTTGATGCTCTCCTGAGCCTTTTTCTATATGATCAGGTAATAAAACTCATTACATACATTGATATATTTAGATTAACTTAATAACTCACGTTCTGAAGTAACAAGAAATTATAAATTGTCGATCAGAATAGCGATACGATTTGTAGATTTGAGAAATTGAAAATAGAATCTATATTTCTCATAGTAGATAGAAGCAAAATTTAGAAAGAGAATAGCAAAATCAAGCGGTTCCTTTCAGATTACTATGGTACACTCGAGTTTTATATTATTTCAATCAATGTAAAAGCAACGATTTACAGTTAAAACAATTATAATAATGATATAACAAGATCATATCTACGCATATATTGAAAAGCATGAAATTTTGCTACGAGAAAACTTACGGACGAACACGTGGACGTGCAACAGTGTAATTACCTGTTTCTTTTGAGCTACCATTTTTGTGGTTTTATGCTTCCTCGACTGTAATAACATTTATAATTTATTAATCCTCTACATACTTAGAAAACTATATATAAAACACGATATACATATTTCGAAATATAATCTGATATGACATACCTTCTCGTAGGATGAACGCTGAAAGAAAGAATGAGGCCGAACCTAACCGGAACCGTATAAATACCATGAATTACGAATAATATATAGAAGGATATCGACGTTACTGGAGCCGGGATCGCGTTGCTTGAGTTAAAGTACCTTTTCATGTATCACTCGTTTTTAGCGACAGAATGGCTGCGTTCAGCAGAGAAAGCAGATCAGTAAGCGCTCAGTGATTTTTCAATATGATTGGTCCTTGCCTTTAGATCTTCGTTGAATGTAAGTGTAGAAACCAATCATAATAAAGAAATCATAATAAAGAATGAACGCTCACTGATCTGCTTTCTCTGCTGAACGCAGCCAATAGGTTGTGTGATTAAAGTTGATGCAGAATAATGAACTATGAGTGGTCACTTTTGATCACGTGACCTATTTTGTCGCTAAAGCGAGCGATGAGTGACACATGAAAAGTACCTTTGTTTGTCCACTAATCTGATTGACCTTTCAGGAATGTGCTCACGTTGTCTGACCGTTTTGCACTTTCTGTACTCAGATTCTTTTTGCCGCTGAAAAAAGAATGAATCTATAAGTGTCGGTCCACAATAAGTATTTAATCTTTAAACCATAAGAAATTGACTAATCATAGTCGAGTATTCTTTTCATATTCGATTATAATTGGTCAATTTCTTACTTCTTAAAGCTTAAATCACCTATTGTGGACCGACACTAATGTAAGCTCGAAATGATTTGTCAGATGACACCGGATAATCGCCGAATAATTGTAACCTCCGATCTGCTCCGATCGTGAACCTTTGTTCCTGTGTTTGTACTATGAACTGATGTTGTTATGAAATGAATAAGTTTTACGTGACGTAACAGCAATGTTGTTTGCGGATGGGAATAACATCTTTAGAGAGACAGGAACACGTAATTACGGTGTGATAAGATAAGCCGTAAGATGAACCTTGGATTAGATAATACAAGTATGACGGTATCGCAGACATTTACTTAAGATACTACGGTAATTGTCTAATCCTTTCATGCTGTATTATTAATTTATATGTATTTATATAAAATTGTATTGGTAAATTGTATGTAATTATTTATGTTCATTTTTATTAATGTATATTACTTTTAATTTCAATTCAATATTGTCTATCTTTTCCTAATTTATAGAATTAAAAAAGATAAAAAAATAAAAGAGTTATAAGAGTAAATAAAAGAGTTTAAAGTTAATCTATATTAATAGAAATGGATATAAAGTAACAAATAGGATAAATCAATAATCTGGTTCTTCTGAGTTCTCTTTACATGTTGATTAAATTTATTAAAATTATTAAATAACTAAATATATTGAAAGATATCCATATAATGATACAAATTGAGAAATCCTTAAATAAGCATAAACTTATGAGAAACTAATCATTAGTTTTTACCAATATAGATTAACTTTAATTTCGGTTTAATTTATTATTATTTTTTTAAATTTATATAACTAAAAAGGTAATAATTAGAATTGAGATTAAAGTTCTGTATTGATCAAAATGGACTTATAGAGCCTAATCTATAACTCTTAATAACATATCATTATTGTTTCATTCAATTGTATAATTGATGTACAACTTTTCTATCATATATTTGCATAATGATAATATAACAATAAATAAACTGTTAAGAAAGTTATTAAGAAATTATTATAAAATAAGCCTATAAAATTTCACATATGTATGGAATATATATATATATATAAAAGAAAGAAATGATTTGTATATTTTAGTAAGAAATAATTTGTACATTTCTAGTAAAGCAGAAATGATAAAACTTTGTTTTATACAAATAGAAGTGAATAAATTTCTTTATATTATGCATTTTTAATGTAGATTGGTTTTATATTTGTATGTTTATTAAAAACTGATTCAATTTATTGTAATATACTAATTTTCAAATTTTCTTTTCAAAAATTTTCTATAAATTTTGTTAAAGAGCTCTCTAGAGTGAATATAATTTTTATCTAGTAATATTGCATATGAGTATATTATTTTATATAAGTATTTGAAGTATGTGTTTATTTCTTGCTGTAGATATATCAATATGGAGCTCAAGTGTGCAATTCAGACATACGATTGGGGGAAGTTTGGTATGGATAGTATCGTTTCAGCTTTGATGAAGTCAGCCAATGCTGATTTTATAGTGGATGAGCAAAAGACTTATGCAGAATTATGGATGGGCACTCACGAAAATGGCCCATCATATCTCAAGGGCACAGATATCTCATTACAAAAATATATTGAAGAAAATACTGAGGTGTTAGGCAGTGATGTAGTACAAATATTTGGCTCCAACTTGCCTTTTCTCTTTAAAGTTTTGTCTATAAATAAGGCTTTGTCCATTCAAGTGCATCCAAATAAGGTAATGACACATTTTCCTCCACTATACATAAAAATAATTTGTTATAATCAACTTGTAACTTTTCAGGAGAAAGCGATAGAACTGCATAAATTATATTCGAACATCTACAAAGATCCGAATCACAAACCGGAACTAGCGATAGCTTTGAGTCCGTTTGAAGCGCTCTGCGGATTCCGTCCAATTGATGAGATAAGAGATTATCTGAATAACATACCAGAATTACTCGCTGTCGTAGGGGAGAACAATATAAATCGTCTATTTCAAGCAACCGATTCCACAATCAACGCTGCTTTACAACAATGTTTTCATAGTCTTATGACTTGTGATTCCAATGAAGTGACACGACAATTGAGAAATTTGATAGACAGATTATATAATATAGGTAATGATTTCTATATGTATATAATATCCAATAAATCATGGTATGAAATATGAAATAAAATTCTGCGTGAAAAGTATATAATTTTTCGATACTTTTTTCTTTTGGAATAATTTTCTTAATACTTATATCATGATTTATCGAATAAATCGCGCTTCTTCCTTATTGGAAGGATTTTTTGTTAGAAAGTATAATCATATTTAGTCGCTCTCAGACGATTCTTATAGGCAATGGATAAAAGCCGATCTGTTAAAGCGTCTACACGCGGATTATCCTGGAGACGTAGGCTGTTTTACAATATATTTTTTTAATTATATAATAATGCAGCCAGGTGAAGCTATATACATCGGGCCAAATGTACCTCATGCGTATCTTTCTGGCGGTAAATACTTAAAACTTAATATGCATATAAATAATAAAAATATGAACAATTTATTGAATTTTTATCCGATTTTTAGATTGCATAGAATGCATGGCATGTTCGGATAATGTAGTAAGAGCTGGACTCACACCAAAACCAAAAGACATACCAACTTTAATCCAAATATTATCATTTGAATGTGAATCACCTTCTGCCAGGAAGCTTCAACCATCCCGAGAAGATGTGTTTACCGAGGTTTTTCGTCCGCCAGTTTCAGAATTTGCAGTCGCTAAAATTACTGTTAGTTTTGTTACCTCATCATATTATCAATCACAAATAATTCAACTGTATTGCATGTATAAATTTATCTTAAATATATTTGCAGTTACCACCTGGACGACCATTTTACAATTTAAAACCTAGGAATTCGGCCAGCATCTTGTTATTAGTAAGTGGTAAAGCAGAAATATCCTCTCAAATTTTTTCTCGTGGTTCTGTTTTGTTTATTCCTGCCAATAATGAAGTAGAGATTAAAGTTTTATGTGGTTGTCATCCCATGTTGATGTTTCAAGCATTTCCAAATATTTGAGGATATGGAAAGTTTAACCAACAAATATTGCATAATATATTTGGGAAGTGCAAAATATAGTTAATCTTTGGCATTTAAAGTAATTAGTACATATTAAACTTCAATATGCATATAGTCATGTAAATATTAAGTGTACAAAAAAGTTCTGAGCTTTAGATTTCATACAACCGAAATAACAATTTAAATTTTATATATCTTCCCGCGGTTTTAAAGCGTTGACATTTGGCCTTCTAAAATGCTATACGGTTTGGCATTTGATGCACATAATCTCAAAAATCAGTAGTGTTCATGATGGCAATAACAAAAGAGCATATTCGATTTTCCATCCACTTCGCGTTTCATCTGAAGAAAAATGCTACAGAAGCCACTGCAATGATTTGTGCTGCATATAGAAAGAACACTGTAAGTCATACTACATGTAAAGATAGTATCAAAAATTTCGCCAAGAAGATTTCAGTCTTGAAGACGAACCGCGTGCTGGACGCCCTCAAAAGATTGAAACGGACGAATTGCAAGCACTGCTGGATATAAACTCTGCGCAAACTGAAAAGGAGCTTGCAGAACAGCTTGGCGTTACGCAGCAAACCATTTCCGTACGTTTACATACGATGGGAAAGGTTCAGAAGGAAGGCAGATGGGTTCCGCATGAATTGTCCGACAACAAAAATCGTCGGCGTGACACTGCACTCACTTTGCTTTCAAAGTTCCGGAAAAAAGGTTTTCTCACAAAATCATTACAGGCGATGAAAAGTGGATTCTTTATGATAACCCTAAACGTAGAAAATCATGGGTTGATCCTGGTCAACCTTCGACATCGACGCCAAAGCCCAATATCCATGCCAAGAAGGTTTTGCTCTGTATCTGGTAGGATTGGAAAGGTGTGTTGTATTACGAGTTGTTACAACCGGGTGAAACAATCACGGCAGACCGCTACCAACAACAATTGACCAATTTGAGCGATGCATTAGAAGAAAAGAGGCCATTTAGGCCAAGGATGTCGTAAAGTGATCTTGCTTCATGACAATGCTCGACCACATGTTGCGAAAGCGACTCAGGACCATATCTTTGCGTTAGGCTGGGAACTTCTCCCGCACTTCCGATTACTACCTATTCCGATCGCTGCAGCATCATTTGGCTGATACACATTTCGTGAGATTTGAAGAGATACGAAAATTTGATGACTATCGCTTCCGGTGAGCTTCTATCGTCAAGGAATTCGCAAGCTACCCGAAAGATGACAAAAGGTCGTTGATGCAAACGGGGAATATTTCGCTGATTAATATTTTTTTGTTTGTTTTTGAATAAAGATTGAATTTTACAAAAAAAAGCTCAGAACTTTTATGTACACCTAAAGATTTTTCTAACTATTTAGAGTTCAGAAACAAAAAGAAGGAACAAGGAATAAGGAACAAGAAATTAAAAATAGAGAATCAAGTTTTGACATATAATCCATATTTTAATATGTAATTAAAAAAAGAATACCAAAGTGTTCTTTCATTAGTCGAAAATAATGTTCCATATTTCTAATTCTTTATATTTAATTCTATATTCCTTATTCTCGTTCATTATGTCTGAGCCCTTACTAATGTACATGACTTTCTCAGGGGAACATGAAGAGCACTTGAGGAGCGTAATTATGAACTTTACATTCTTTCGAAATGTTTTTTGTACAGCAACTATATTATAAGAATCTCGATAAAATTTACTTAAAATAATAAATAAACATATACAGAAATATGTATATACAAATAATTAAGAAATAGTCAGTCATCTTCTGAATCATTGCCTTTCTTCGAAGTGCTCTCTACAGATTTTTCATCTTCTTTATAATGTCGATATTCTGGTTTCAATTCCCACATGTTTCTGTGAGGATTTTTCAAATTATAATTACAAACTTCATTGAGTATTTCTTTAAGATAAACCTGAAATTTATATACTATTTAAATGTTAAATGTTAGATGAATCTTTCAAAATAAATTGTATTTTAAATTATTGGATAAATAAATAGAAAATATATTTACAATAGGTTGCCTTGTGATTTTTACGAGGTCCCTTATATTATAATACTGATGTTTTTCAAATGCTGCAAAAAGCATATCTAGTACAGCATCCTTGTCATCTCTCATTTTCTTTCCTTCTGCTTTCTTCTTTTCCGCATACTCAATCTGTAAAATGTTACTTGCATATGATAAGATCGATTTAATAGTATTAAAAGAAAAATTGAAATAATGTTTACATTGTGTTTGTGGTCAGACACAGGCTTGAAGTTTTGCACAACTCTATCTAATTGTTGGACTTGTCTTTGTGGCACTGAAGCTCTCTTGATACTTTCTAATTTCAACTTCATGTAACAATTATCAGCTAAAAATATTTTTTATAACAGGTTATATTTCTAAAAAACTAATCGCTATTCATATTTATATATAAGTAGTATACCATATGGTCTGCATTCTAATTTTTGTACAATTCTTCCTTCCATAAAGAGTTTTTCTGTTTCTGGAATAATTGCATCTGAGCTTGCAGTGGCTGTAAAATCAATAAGTATTGCTGAAAATGTATTAAATTTAGAAATTTCATTAAACTTACGGGCAACATGAGAAAATACTCCTAGCATTTGTCTGGTAACTGTTGTGACATCTAACCTATGTTGTTTTGGTATTTCTCCTTCTCCAGGCTCTTTCAAAGCTAGGACAGCTTCCGATAACTTGAGAGATACTTCAGCTTTCTGTCCAGGATGTCTAGAGAGAATAGAGAATAGGCAGAAATTAGAATCTGCATATTTTCTTCTTTATGTAAAAAATAATGGAATTATATAAATAAAACAGACTGAATATCTTTTAATGTTTATTTAAGAAAACAAATATCTCATATAAAAAGAATTAATTTTTATATATTTAATAATAATAATAATTATATACATCCATTTGTTTTTATAAAATGTTTGTTTATATAAAATATGACAATACAAATCTCATATACATCGATTCCAAATCTACATAGCTGTTTGATTATGCATACTAAATAACAATGCAGCAAATAAGATAAAAAAATAGTCATATAATGAAAGCAAAAGAGATCAGAAGTATGATATTCTATGAAAGAAATGGTTTTAAGTTTTAAGAAGAAAAACTTACTTAGTGATTTTCAACTTGCCGACTTCTATATTGCCAGGTGCCTTTTCCCACTTGTTAGCTATGTACTTAGGTACTTTGACGAGCCACACACCGCGGCCAGCGTTACTTAAATCTAATTCCTTTTCCGTGTGCGAGGCATGTACGTTCACAGACATTATTGCTATTATTTTTTCAGTGCCGTGTTCGTATGTGACAGAAGAAAAATGTCTACTTCTTTTTCTCAATAATATAATCGTTGTATTATTCCTTGCAAAATATGAATGAGAAAACAAAACTATCTAAAATTATTTAAAATTAATCGAAATTGACTTAAAGTTGATTTAAATTTATAAATCAAGAGATCCTTGAACTCATTTAAAACTTTTAATTCGAACTCTAGAATTTCCAGAGAAACAATCCGAATCGATCTGAAACCGAACTAAACTGATCTGAAATTGAACTGAAACTACTTCCATCAAGATTCGATATCCAATCTACGGTGCGGTTAACTTGATGCTACAAATTCTTTGAAATATTTGATTGGTTAATTCATAAAATTCTTTGTTCTGATTGATCAATTAAACTCTTCGAAGTTTTGTAAGACTTGGGCCGGTATTCACAGCTCATTATATTTAGGGTATGGTCAAGGACTTACAAATACTTTGAAGCACTTTTTGATTAGTGCATTAGTAAAATTCTTTGTTTTGATTGGACAATCAAACGCTTCGAAGCATTTGTAGTGTTAGGCTGGTGTCCCATCGTAATTTGTCCATAAAT